CATGTTGCAATCAATTTTCGTGATAAGTCGATTTAGATGCGGTACAATCTCGGTTGGTATTTGTGGTTTTTCAGTCTAAAATGCCAACTCTAGCTTTATGCATGGTTTGGGCTTTGATTGGATGTTGGTTGGGCCTTTGGCCTTTTTATGTTGACAGAATTTTCTATCAACAAAAAAAGAGTCTGCTCATGCTTAAAAAAACTGCTGAACTTTATTACTAAAAACCAATATAATCCACAATCCTGCTATTTGCACAATTAATCAACTAAATAGTTTATTACAAGCTAGAGATTATGATTGCAACCTAACAAAATTACCAAAAGAACCGATGAGTTTGCAATACTAATTGAAATCTAGGTTCCTACTAGATAAAAGTTTAATTATTCACTAATTAATTTATATTAATTCACTAAATATTTAAATGACATTTCTTCAAGGCTGAGATTTTTTTATTTTAAAAAAAAACAATAGAGAGAACTTCAAGAGATTGACGGAGAATACACTTCATTAGTAATACATTCTAAGCCTAGGTGAGTCCTACAGAGAGGAAGAAGAGAAGAGAGAGAGAGAGAGAGAGAGAGAGAGAATAAAAAGAAAAATAAGAAGAGAGAAAGATTCATCTAAATGATGAAGTCCTAGCCTATGTTAGTTAATATAAAATAAGGACTTGCAACCTTAGCACCTTCACCAACTAAAAATAATGCAAAGTTTTTAGAGAAATGCAAAGAAATGGTCACAGTTGAGTGTGGAAAAGAAATATTTGATAATATGATCCACCCCAATGTAAACGGAGTAAGATTGGCTTGTTGCTATCAACTTCTGAACGTGTGTGAAGATTGCCATAGAGCATTAGTAAATGAAGCTCTTGCAGCACCTCTTCCCAAAGTCAACAAATCGGAGGCTTTGTTCAACAGTAGAACTATTTGGAGACATTGTTTTCCAACTGCAAAAAGATAGTTGCTTTAGTATGTACTTTATTCCATAAACAACTTCAAACAAAATATATAGAAGGAAGGTCAAAAGAAATGATGGCAATGTTGAATTGAACATTTATCAAACTACTCTTGCAATAATTAATTTTGTTTTCCTTGATTGTAGCAGGACTTGCAACCTTACCACCTTCTCCATGTAATAACAATAACTTTTTTAGAGGAATGCACAAGAAATATTTCTATTGACTGCAGAAAAGAAGTATTCAATTCTGTGTTTGAATTTGAAGCCAAGGTATAAAAAAAAAATTCTCATCACAATGTTGTCATCGAATTTTGACATCGGTGAAGCTTGCTACAAAGTACTTGAGGATAAAGAGAATAGAAGAATTTGGAATGGTTGCTTCACTTTGTTTGCCATCGTACATTGATGATTGCTTCTCCCAGCTTTATTTTCCTTCTACAAAATTACTTATTATGTACTTATTTCCATAACTGACTTCAAATAAAATACAATGGAGGTTTTGACATGGAGTTGGAGTTTCAAAATTTATGGCTCGTTTACTTATTAGGAATGAGAGAATTAGTCATGAATCGGGGAACTTAGATAAGAGAATCAAGGAATGGAAATCAGATAAACTACTCCCCTTAATTTATCTCATTCCCCATTTGAGGGTATTCGATTTCAGATATTAACATGGAAACCCACGTAATTTTTTATATATTCCTTTTGTACGTTAGTAAACGCACAAAAAGTCAAAAATTGGAATCATTCACATGTGTTAGTAAACATAGGAGAAGCAGGACTTGGAATCATTCCAATGCCCATTCCTATTATTTTGTCAAATTGAACAATTATTTATTCATGAAATCAAGTTATGACATTTATTGATGTATGTGGTTCATGTAAAATAGATTTGAAGATGGGTAAATTAATGTGCCTATTTAGCATAGCATGCATATGATTTATGTAAATATCGAAAGTTTACCTCCATTGCCTGTAGGCAGGTGGCCCGTAGAAAGAGTTCAAATGTGTTGTCTCTATTTTCTATATCTCTTAATGTCCGTCTCTAATTTCTTGACATGTGCCCATCTACTTAATTCCTACACAAATACTGTTAAATTATAATTATTAATAATAAAAAAACTACAAACTAAAATATAAATATACATATACTAAAAATATCAAAGCTAATTTGATATCTAGTTGGCGTACGTATATTGTATATAAAGGTTTAGGGATAGAGGTAGCTAAAAATCATCATCATCATCATCATCATCATCATGTTTTTTGGTGTGGATTGGAGGGAACCAAACCCTAATTAATTGGGGAGGAATTGTGTCTATTGAATAGACTTACTTGGTATCTGATCTAAGGAGAAAGACGCCCTGATATTTGCTAAGTACTAAGGTTTCCAACTCCAGCCGTGGTTACCTAGGGAAGTAGTTTTAAAAATAAAATAAAATAAAATATTCCCAGGAGAATGATGACTTTTCAAGATATTCAGAAGCAACTAAAGAAAAAAAAACACTTTACGTTCCTTGTTCACCAAGAAACTACTTACAGGAAAGTCTCTTTTTAGAGGCAATTACTTCCTCTCCAAGCTTTCCGCTTTTCTCATTTGTAGACTTTTGAAGGGTTCTCTGACTGTAATTTTGGAACTATAAAAGTAACAGATTATGATACTGGAGCGTGAGTTGAGTTTTGTAGGGTTCCCCAACTCCACATCCAATTCTCCCGAAAACACTAATAATTTCTCTCCCTCTTCTTCCCTTTTCAAAGCAAGAGAGTCCCCCAAGTCCTCCTCCAATTCTCCGAAAACGCCATTATAAGACAGAGAAACCCAAGAACTCAAATTTCAAGCCCACGCCTTACAAAGAAAGCAAAACAAGAAGAGGAAGAAGACATGATTGCCAACTTACCAGACGATGTTCTTAGCCATATTCTCTCATTGTTACCAACCAAACATGCCGTGGCCACTACCGTGCTCTCCAAGAAATGGACCAACCTATGGACTTCTGCTTCCTTCTTCAAGCTCGACCTTGACGACAGACTACTACTGCGGCCCAAAAGCCTCACATCGATGCCTAATCACGCGTCCTTATTTGCCAACTTCGTGAACCACGTCCTTGGCCTCATCAATTTGCCATGCGTACAAAAAATCAAATTCTTTTGCTCCGACTCTTACGATTTGAATCTCATAAATTCTTGGTTGCTTGTTGCATGCACATCCAACGTTGTTGAGGTCAACATCAGAATTCCTTACACTCAAAATCCTATCGAATTGCCTCAAATCTTGTATGCTAGTAGGTCGCTTCGGGTACTAAAACTAAATGCGAATATAAGGCTGGATTTTCCTCCAGATTACGTGTGTTTTCCGAGCCTAAAGGTTCTTTGGATAAAAGTTTATAACCAAGATGGTATTACGTTTACGCAGAAGCTTTTCCATATCTGCTTTGTGCTTGAAGATTTGTTCATGGAGAGTGACATCTTGAACAAGGAAAGGGAAGTGGTTTTCACGGTAAAATCGAATACACTTAAGAGGTTGAAGATTGAATGCTTGGTGCATAGTTTCGACATCGAGTATAGCTTTGTGGTAGATTGCCCAAACCTTGAGCACCTTGATCTCTGCGATGACTTCTTGGCCAAGTATAAAATCGCTATGGATTCGAAGGTACTTGATGATGCAAAGATTTGTATTGGACTCCCTTCTGCAGATTATGGTGCCTTTGAACTTTATTTCGAGGTAAAGCACTCTAACCGTGCTTTTGAGCTTCTTGAAGCACTCTCAAATGTCAAGTCCTTATCATTGTCTGGATGTACTACTGGGGTAAGTCTCTGCTTTTCTTTAACTTTACCATGTCACCTTTATATAATTAAAACTACATGTTTGAATGTGTGGTCCAAATTTACACTTGAGACTATAAGTCATAAGAACATTATTAAAATTTAACGAATGCATATTTCTATGTAGTAGCTAACCATGTTCCATTACTTTTGTTTCTTTTGCATGTCAAGGCTGTCAGCTATTCCTATGAGACTGTGGAACACACTGATTCTCATGAAAATGAAGATGGAATTGCACTACGGATCCGCTTGAGAAATTTCATGCTCAAATTTCCTTTCCTTAGGCGTTTGGAGCTGGGTTTCCGCACCAGTGAGAGTTGGAACACATTGACCTTATTGCTACATAGCTCGCCTAATCTGCAGCATCTTATCTTGAGAAAGGTATGTTTACTTTACATGAATGAACAATTTCAAACTGCTTCGTTTTCAGCACTTTCATCTTCTTACCATTCACTTTTTCTTTTCGTTTTTTTAACGACAGGAACTAAATGGATACTCTGTTGGTTATAAAAGATTTTCTTATGGAATGCCCAAAGGATCGGTGCCGGAATGTTTGTTGTGTCACCTTAAAGAAATGGAGATTTGGGGATTTGAGGGGGTGAAATATGACTTGTCAATGGTAGAGTTCTTTTTGGGGAATGCAGAAGTCTTGCAAAAGATGAAAATTTATGTCCACAAATTATCATCAGATGAAGAGATTATGCTCAGCGAGCATGTGTTGGAAATTCCAAAAGTTTCAGAAGCATGTCAAGTGGAGATAAAATGTGAATATTAAAAGAAAATTAAGGGTTGGGCGTCTTGTGATCAAAATTGGGTTTCCAAAGAATCACTCCTAACTTACCCAAGAGCAAGCCCGGGGGGGAGCCAGGCTGATACAAAAGGATGCTAAAGTCTACGCTAAGTTTGCCACCAACTTTGGCTACAACATTCAAAAGTTGGCAAAACATTGTAAAGGCAGTTCAAACCGAGCAAATCAAAACCAATGCAAGAGATCTAGTTTGATTTTTACACACAAAAAGTGTAATTTGTGACCCAATTGAACCAAACCGCTATTTTATTGTACGGTGGTCCATTTGGTGACAGCTGCCGAAATCAAACAAAACCAGCCATACTATCTTCTTTTTTTATTGTTCTATGACCCATTTCTTAGAAGTGTATGCTTAAGTAGACTTCTAGTCAGCAACTTCTATCGCATATTTTAAAAAGAAAAGAAAATCATCATATTGGCGTTTCTCATAAGCATAAAGGAGTTGGTGACTTTCATGATCAATATGCTAAGAAATCAGTAAATAAAATACATCATTTCCTATGTATCTGCAAAACTTACCGAGCCGCTAAGGAGAAATTGGTCAGAAAATATAACCACCTAGAAAGTATGACTTTCCGGCTGCAGTGGACAACTGCTACAGAGGGTACATTTAGTAGCTCAGTCTAGCTAGATTCGTATGCACTTAAACTAGGGGAATGAAAAGCAATTTTCTGCTGATAGTAGAAACATGACAGGATTAAATTCCTGAATTATAGCGACCCATTTTCACACAGCAGCATCAGGGTCTAACCTTCTCTGAATGGCAGCAGCAGCCTGGCATGAATAAGAGGTGATACCATAAACAAAAAGCCAGAACATGATTAAGAATTATAACAAGAAGACAGCTCACAGCTCTGGTTACTTATCCTCACCTCAAAGTTTCCAATCTTATACTGGTAAGCCATCTCTTCCCTGAGTTGAGCTTGCTCTTTCATTGCTTGTGCCTGAAAATTCAAATGGAGTGAGAAAGTGTATTTTTTGAATAAAGTTTACATGCGATAAACAATTGAATGTGATGAAGCAAAAACTAACCAGTCCACTCTGCATAGAGCGCTTCAGAGCTTCTACTTCTTCTTCCTTTTGCTTTTCACGCACTCGCATCATTTCTTGCCTGAATAGCAATACAATATTATTGGCTAAACACAAGAATGCAATCATTGCAATAAATTTGGTTTAACAGATCCAAACTGGTATCATGTTTTTCCTTTCCTGTATCTGAAAAAAGTTGCCCTTGCCTTTTTTCTTTCTGTGCGTGCAGCTGCCAAACTAAAGTTTCTAAGAACATTCTAACACAAAATTACTAATAAGTTACATTTTGCAGGCACGAATACATTGTCTACAATTAAGGATTGTAAAAGTTTCATCTTTTTCCTTTTAATAGCTGGCTTTTCATATGAACGAATTGAAACTGAAAAATACCAAAATTAGTCCATAAAATGAAAACTAAAAGCTATAGTCTCAGAGCAGAAACTTAAGATGCCACTTCATGACAAATCCAAATAACAGAGATAGCAATAAAACATACCGTCGCTGTTCTTCATCATTGAATACAGTACGTTCTGTTTGCCCAACCTTTTTATAACCTTTTTTTATTTCCTTTTCCAATTTATGCCTGAAATAAGCATCAAGGCTATAATACCTGCAACCACAAAAGTTAGAGTAATTACTAGTCATTCTGTGGTGTTTTGAATCATTTCACATTTTGAATATGTGCATTCACTTTTACAGGTTTTCTAGTTAGGGTGACTATAAACAAAAAAGTGAGAACATACCAACCCTTCTCACTCATACAACCAACCTGAAACGACATCTGTAACATTAAAACCAAACAAAGTCTTTCCAATTTTATATAGTATCTCCCCTTTGCTTCCTTCTCCAAATAAATAGCTAGAAATCTGGCATGCTATGTTGTCAAATTGTAAATAAGATCCACACAATGAAACATGATTCCACCTATTCAAATATCCTGATTCACAATCTAATAACATGACATGTTAAACCATTTGGTAAGTACTAACTAGTTGTATTGGTCACTCATAAAGTTATGAAAACAACCATTGAAAAGATTAGGCGGATCAAATTTTAAGTCAAGAAGGATATTTCACTCAAATTAGATAGTGCACGTATTCCATTCTCCTTTGAGAGTCCCTGGAGAGAGAGAATGAACACCACCGCCTAAAGCTCTAGATGTAGAGATGACTAATGTTAAATAATTTATCATCTTATTGGGCCTTGTTTAGGGGCTTAGATTAAGATACATAAAAAGGGAGGAACAAAGCTATATAACTTTTTATTTTTCGGAAAAGTAAGTGGAAGTGCATAAAATTAATAGAATAGAGCCTTACTTTTTGGAAGGGAAGGTAGCTGTGTTGTGATCTTCCATGAACCTATCAAGAAGGATACAAATTTCTACTCAGATTGTAAAATTCCAAAATTCCAAAAGCTAACATATTCCTATTATCTTCATTACTCAGTTCTAGTGAAATTAAAAAAAAACTAAAATGATAGACCAAAAAAGAAGATAAATTAAATGCCATCCACACACACAAACACACACTTACTGTTTGAACATCTGCTTCTCTTCCCAATTTGGCAGATGTTCCAGGTTCACCTAAAGAAAGATAAAACAATTATCATTAAAGCTATATTATCAACTCCTGCAATTCAGAAACTGATAAATACATGACTTCTTCAGAACACATATAAAAGAAAAGGGAAAATCTGCAATCTTAGAACTCCAACCAAGATATGTGAAATAAAATATTCTTCAGCTTTCTGGTTTCATGGGGTGGAAAAACAGTTGGAAAATGAACTCACCTGTTTTACTTCTGCCAACCATGCAGTGAACTCTGGTCGTTTGTTCCTATATATAAATATCAATCATCAAATTCAAACGGCCATTAAATAATTAAACACTAAAACTACCAAAGGAGAGAAATTAAATTTTGTTAAGGGACAAGTAGACTTGAAAAAGAATCAACAAGATCATCAAAGTTCGTATCTTTTTCATACAATTTCTCAGCATCCAAACAGAAACTCTAAACCCTAAAACAATAAAAAAGAAAAAGATCAACTAACATACCACATATCAGTTTCTCTGATGATCCCATACTTCCCCCATGAATTAGTGACAGCTCCTTTCTTTCCTTTCTCCTTCTTTTCCTTCCTCTTCTTCTTTCTCTTCTCCTTCTTCTTCTTCCTCTCTTCCTCTCTTCTCCTTTTCTTCTCCTTCTCTCTTCTTCTCCTCTTCCTTTCTCTGTCATTCCGACCCGCTCTCCTCCGACTCCGACTTGGAGTCCGAATCCGAATCCGACTCGCTACTGTACCGCCTCCGAGATCTCCTCTTTCTTCTATCGCTCCTCACAAGTTTTTCATCACTTGACTCGGAGCTTTCCCGCAAATTCCTTCTGGATTTTCTGCGTTTTCTATCTTCTTCGGAATGGGAATCGGAATTTTCTATCGCTTTCTCGGATTTTCTTTCGTTTTCATCCTCTTTCTCTGAGCTTTTGCTTCTTCTCTCTTGAACGCTGCCATTTCGATCTTTGCCCATTTTGCTGTTCAGGAAAAGAGTGAGAGACAAAGAGAGAAACGCAATACACAAGGGTGGAGGGTGGAGGGTGGAGCTAATTGAAGGGATGGTTTTCGTTTCTGTGTTTCTTGATGGGACTGGACAGAACAGTCGAAGAAAGGGCCGGATGGAGAAATAGCTGGGGTCTCCTCTAGGCCCAATATTGACATGGATCACAACCCTCTCTACGTGGGCTAAAACATGGCTCGGTTTTATGGTGAGTGTATCATATATGAATCATAAATGTGAATATTTATATTAACCATATAATTCATCTGAATAGTAATTTCACTTAAATTTAATAAGATGATCATATGTCTAATATAAAGGCCGACATGAGAGTTCTATATATGACACCCTCATTATAAAATTTCACATGTTCCTTTTCCAAATTGACAATGAGTATATCCCTTGACACCCAAACATGCTTTGTGGACACTCAAGACACCACTAGAGGTATCAAACGGGGCCATGGGTGTATAAAAATGGCAGGGTACGATACAAGCACAAGCTGGAACAAATACGACAATATAAATAGGTTGAGTCGGGCTGGACTTTAAGCTCAATAAGCATGACATAGTACACCCATGAAATGGACCACACAAAACACAAATTGGCTCATTTAAATGCATTAATCCCATTTGACGACTCTACCCAATGTGGCCTGAAGTTTGGAGGCTGGTAACATCTCCGACCACCCTCGACCGAGAGGAAAATGATGAGAAGAGGGGGAGGGGATGTGCAAGGTTTTTTCCTTTAAATTTCCTAATCTTGTAGCTTTTTAAATTTAGGGAACAAAATTAAAAATTTTGAACTTAAATATGGGATTGGGTGTGGATAGAATAGCCCAAGATCCAACCCATCCAAGGCCCAAACAAAAGAAGAAGCCCAAAATCCTTGTCATTTGACCCATATGACACTACCACTATCACTCCCACCGGAACATCTCCAAGACCCGCTTAAACCTTTCCTCTCATGGCTTTTGCAGTCTTCAAACTCTTGAAGAGGCACCAAAACCTCGCTGCAAATGTATCCCCAGTCAAATTTTACTGCAGAGCCAGGCACACTGCCAACACAAGAAATCTCTTCTCAAGAATCAGTCCTCTTGGGGACCCTTTTCTCAGTGTCGTCCCAGTTCTTGACCAATGGGTTCAAGAAGGCGGAAAAGTCAATTACTTTGAGCTCCAGCGGATCGTTCGAGACCTCCGGGCCCGAAAGCGATACAGGCATGCCCTTGATGTGAGTGAATTTGAGCAAAAAGGTCTCCTTTTGGTTGCTGATAATGATTTTTATTCTGTTTTTCTCTTGTACTAAAACTTCTGCTGATTCATTTGGTTGCTAGTAGAAATCTAGTCTTGTTTGTTTTTCTAGTGGTTTTTTTTTTTTTAATGTTTGTTGGGTTGGGTTCCATTACATGCTGAAAAACTCGCCTCAAACGGTCTATTGGTTTCAATTGAATGATTCTTTGCCTGCAATCCCCTGCTTGCTTGCTGAGAAAATTAATATATAAAAAAAGATTTTTATAACAGGTTAATTTGGTCATAGGGAAAATGGGAAACCCACAAGGAAATGAGCTTTGGTTTTCTTCTTTGTTCAGATGAACTGATAGAATTCATTCTCAGGTTCTGATATTTAACATATTCCACAGTTTTCTGTTTCCAGTTGACATGTTACTCAAGCTTCTGCCTTTTTCTTTGTTGTTGTGCAGGTTTCTGAATGGATGAGTAGCAAAGGCCTGTGCCAATTTTTACCCGGTGACCATGCCGTGCAGCTTGATCTCATCGGTAGAGTTCGTGGCCTAGATGCTGCAGAGAGCTGCTTTAGTAGCTTGAGTGATGAGGATACTAGCAAAAGTTATGGTGCACTTCTAAATTGTTATGTGAGAGAAGGCCTCATTGATAAGTCTCTCTCTCATATGCAGAAAATGAAAGAGTTGGGTTTTGCTACCTCTCTCAACTACAATGACATTATGCGTCTTTATATACATACTGACCAGCCTGAGAAAATCCCGGATGTGCTATCAGAGATGAAAGAGGAGGGTGTTTCTCCTGACAATTTTAGCTATAGGATTTGCATGAGCTCTTACGGAATGAGATCTGATATAAGTAGCATGGAGAAAGTTTTGGAAGAAATGGAGAGGGAACAACACATCTCCATGGATTGGCTTACTTATGCTTTGGTAGCCAATTTATACATTAAAGCAGGTCTCCATGACAAAGCATTGATCTACCTGGAAAAGAGTGAAGAGAAGGTAAATAAAGATGCGCTTGGCTACAATCATCTAATTTCACTTTACGCAAGCCTGGGATGTAAAGATGACATGATGAGGTTGTGGAGCCTTGAAAAAACCAAGTGCAAGAAGCAAATTAACCGGGATTACATTACGATGCTTGGTTCTCTTGTGAAGCTTGGGGAGCTTGAAGAGACAAAAAAATTGCTAGAGGAGTGGGAGTTATCATGTCTCTCTTATGATTTCCGAGTGCCAAATATCCTCCTAATCGGATATTGTCAAAGGGGGTTGGTTGAACAAGCTGAAGACACTCTTCGAGACATTGTCAAAAAAGGCAAGACTCCAACTCCAAATAGTTGGGCAATTCTTGCTGCAGGATATGTGGACAAGCAGAAGATGCAGAAGGCTTTTGAGTGCATGACGGAAGCTCTGAATTTACGGGCAAGAAACACAGGATGGAGGCCGAAACCTGGTGTGGTTTCCAGTGTATTGAGTTGGATTGGAGACAATGGAGACATTGAACAAGTAGAAGCCTTTGTAAGCTTAATGAAGACTGTGATTACAGTAAATAGGGAAATGTACCATGCCTTGATGAAGGCATACATCAGAAGTGGAAGAGAAGTGGAAGGGCTTTTACACAGCATGAAAGAAGATCAAATAGAGGCCGATGATGAAATCCTAAGCTTACGACAGAAGTAACACTGAAACGACAAGAAGGTTTTTTTATTGGTACTTTTCCCTCTTCTATGCTATTATATAATGAGAACTTCAGTTTTGGTGCAACTCTTTACTTAGCATCTTGTTGGTCACAGACCTGATCCATAAAACTTACAGCCACTGAAAATGCAATTGACAAAAACACAAGCAGATAATTTTAGTGAATCTCGGGAAATGTTAATAATGCAGAACTGTTAGAAAATGCATTACAAAGGCCTTTTTATAAAATAAAATGCACTGGAAAAGAATTTATGCCTGTACCTTTGAAGAGGCTATCAAATATAGCTTGGTCTGGTTAATCCATTATGATCATTGATTTATAGGTATGTATACCAAAGCAACACTTACTGATTGTGACAGGGTATTATAGAAAAAAAGAGCAAAGACTTAACTCTATTGGTGGCAATTGGCATATGCCTTTTTTTTTTTCTTTCACTAATATTCCTAATCTCTTTGGTTTTTAGTATTAATTCTTCTTGCCCAATGATTTTCATTTAATTGATTAAATAAAATCCTGTATGAGCCAATTTTCGGAAATTTTGCCGAAACTTCACAAATGATAGTAGGTCGAATTTCCAAGAAACAAACACAGATGAACAAAAGAAACCAAACACAGTTCTGTTTGCTTCACGGTTGATTGGTTTCCAGGAAAAGAGAAGGAAACTAAACTAATGGTGAACTTTTGGATTTTGAAATAACATCACTGCAAACTCAACAGAAGAAATAGCCAAACCCAATATCTTCTCAAAAACCAAGTAGAGGGTTAAAGTACATGTGATTCCGTTTGTATATGTGCATGCGTATCAGTGTGTGTCAAGTTTACTTGATTATAATTTCGACAATGTCATATTCTCACATATTATTGAGTAAAGATAATATATATTAAAAAATGTAAATAATTTATATTAAAAAATATATTATAATGACCGAACTTTTAAGTTGTACAATGCCAAAATTTTGCTGAATAAAACACGTACGTATTTTATATACTTATAAAAAAAAAACTCTTACTTGTAACAACACGTGTCTATACTAGTTTTTTTTCAAGAAATAGTATAGCATCACGACTTTAAATTTATAACACGTGGCTCCTGCTCTGGGTGCATCCCATATATATAATAGCAGAGCTGACCGGCTATACTATGTTTTTTAAACCCGCACGGCTATACCCGTTTTTACAATTTTTTTTTCAAAACAGTATTGCTGCATGGCTTTACTGTTTTGAAACGTGGTGCCTATGCGGCTATACTATTTGTCAAACAAATTAGTTTCTTTACTTTTGATTTTTTTGCCAACTTCTTTAATTTAATATATGTAATTAAGTAATATCTTAGATTTTTTGAATTACTTTAATTAGTAAGTACTTGAAGTTCAATGTGGAAATATATTTAAGTCCTTGAATTACTTTCATTAAGGTCTTGAAGGGCTTAATAAATATATTTAAAGATCTTGAAGGGCATTTACAGATGCATATGTAAATATATTTCCACAAAAAACTTAATAAATAGTAAGTACTTGAAGTTCAATGGATGTCGAAAAAATAAATTACGTGTTATATACGTATGTATGTATTTTTCAATAACACATATGTGTTCTGTAAACGTCTCAAAGACTCAGCAAACGTACAATTTTCATATATTATATAGGTGCGTAAGTATTTTTCCATGTTTAATACACATATTAATTACAAAAATTTCAATAAGACGCACAAAATTTACGTATTATACACATAACTTTGTATATAACACATTATTAAACGTGAAAGTGCTAAAATCTTTATACGGGTAATAACTTTGGAAAATTAAAAAATCAAAAGGGGACGATAGATGCTCGAGTAATGACATAACAGTAATGAATATAGCTCTTGGGCCATGGAGAAATTGAATTAAGACACCCAAACGATTTCACAAAAGACTTCATGAATAGAAATGAATTACTTTGTGTTCTTTTTCTTCAATCTTTTTACATTAAATAATAATTAAAATATAACTACTAAGCAAAGTGATTAAAAAAGGCAAAGATATTACTTGATTACATATAGTAAATAAAAGAAGTAGGCCAAAAAACAAAACAAAAGAAGCACATATAAAATTATAAAAAATAAATAGAGTATAGCCGTGCGGCTATCAAATAAAAGTGCTCCCAGCCCCTATGTGCCACGTGTCAAAAGAGTAAAGCCTTTTTTTTAAATAACGGAAATCGCGTATAGCCGGCCGGCTATACTATTATATATATATATATATATACCCCCGCCCAAGGCCTAAGCCCACGTGTCAAAGAGGTACAGCCGGACGGCTATACAATTTTTTTTATGCAAAAACGAGTATAGCCGAACGGCTACACTATTTTTTTTGAAAAACAATTAGGTTTTTTTAAGCATATATTATTTTTATTCAGTATTACGTGTATAATACGCGAATTTTGTGTGTCTTAGTGGAATTTTTGTAAACAATACGTGTTTTAAACATGAGAAATATATGCGTACGTGTATAATACATTATTAAACGTAAAAGTGCTAAAATCTTTATATGGGTAATAACTTTGGAAAATTAAAAAAATCAAAAAGGGACTGTAGATGCTCGAGTAATGGCATAATAGTAATGGATAGAGCTCTTGGGTTATGGAGAAATTAAATTAAGACACCCAAACGATTTCACAAAAGACTTAATGAATAGAAATTAATTACTTTGTGTTCTTTTTCTTCAATCTTTTTACCTTAAATAATAATTCAAATATAATTACGAAGCAAAGTGATTAAAAACGGCTAAGATATTACTTGATTACGTATAGTAAATTAAAGAAGTAGGCCAAAAAACAAAACAAAAGAAACAAATTTTATATTTTTAAAATATTAAAAGTAAAAAAACGGTATAGCCGTTCGGCTATACTATGTTGTATCTATTAAAAAAAAGTTGCTCCCACTTCCTATGTGCCATGTGTCCCTATTTTAAAAAAAATAAGAGTACAGCCGGACGGCTATATTGTTTTTTAAATTCAAACAATAGTACAGCCGCCCGGCTAGACTATCATGTGTATATATATATATATATATATATATAGAGCCGCCCATGGCCTAAGCCCACGTGTCAAAGTGGTCAAGTCGGCCGGCTATACTATTTTTTAATTCGAAAACAGGTATAGCCGAACGGCTATACTATTTTATTTTGAAAAATAATTTTGTTTTCTTTAAGCATATATTAGTTTTATTCAGTATTACATGTATAATACGTGAATTTTGTGTCTCTAAGTGGAATTTTTGTAAACAATACGTGTTTTAAACATGAGAAATACGTGCGTACGTGTATAATACATTATTAAACGTGAAAGTGCTAAAATCTTTATACGGGTAATAACTTTGGAAAATTAAAAAAATCAAAAAGGGACAGTAGATGCTTGAGTAATGGCATAATAGTAATGGATAGGGCTTTTGGGCCATGGAGAAATTGAATTAAGACACCCAAACGATTTCACAAAAGACTTAATGAATAGAAATTAATTACTTTGTGTTCTTTTGCTTCAATCTTTTTACCTTAAATAATAATTCAAATATAATTATGAAGCAAAGTGGTTAAAAAAGCTAAGATATTACTTGATTACGTATAGTAAATTAAAGAAGTAGGCCAGAAAACAAAATAAAAGAAACAAATTTATATTTTTAAAATATAGAGTATAGCCGGTCGGCTATACTAGGTGTATCTATATATAAAAAAAGGTGCTCCCAGTCCCTATGTGCCACGTGTCAAAAGAGTAAAGCTTATTTTTAAAAAAATAAGAGTACGGCCGCACGGCTATATTGGTTTTAAATTCAAAAAATACTACAGCCGGCCGGCTATACTATTATATATATATATATATATATAGACCCGCCCATGGCCTAAGCCCACGTGTCAAAGAGGTCAAGCCGGTCGGCTATACTATTTTTAATGCAAAAAGGGGTATAGCCGCACGGCTAGACTCTTAACAATTAGTTTTTTTAAGCATATATTAGTTTTATTCAGTATTACATGTATAATACGTGAATTTTGTGTGTCTTAGTGAAATTTTTGTATACAATACGTGTTTTAAACATAAGAAATACGTGTATACGTGTATAATACATTATTAAACGTGAAAGTGCTAAAATCTTTATACGGGTAATAACTTTGGGAAATTAAAAAAAATCAAAAAGGGACGGTGGATGCTCGAGTAATGGCATAATAGTAATGGATAGGGCTCTTGGGCTATGGAGAAAATGAATTAAGACACCCAAACGATTTCACAAAAGACTTAATGAATAGAAATTAATTACTTTGTGTTCTTTTTCTTCAATCTTTGATTAGTATAATTGTTATTAATGATATCCAAAGCCTTGCCCATTAGCCCAACTCTCCAATGTTAACCATATTTGTCAAACTATCATTGTGCTTTGTTTATAAACACCTTTATAGGAGTGTGAATTTTCACAAATGGCACCTCAAAAAATAGGCCTTCAAGATCTTTAAAGCCCTTCAAGATCTCCGTGATGCATCTGTAAATGCCCTTCAAGGTCTTGCATCTATCGACCATGATATTATTTGGCTTCTCATAGCTGATTTTTACTATTCTCTGAAGAAAAAAGACATACCTTCACCCCCGATAAGAGCTTCTCATGCTGAGTCCACATAAGAGATCATACACTTTGCCACTGAATTTGCAAAGTCCCTTTACGTTAAGCATTATTAACTAATGTGGTATCTATTAACGATTATCAATTAAATATCCATGGTCACTTGTATTTCAAGGCCTGTGGCTTTAACTAAATATTGATAGATACCAATATGTTCAAAGTTCAAAGTTCAAGCCACAACAAGCCTAGCTATACGATTGAAATACAATTTAGTTTTGTGCTCGGGGAGCACAAGAGAAGACATATGACTCTCATCATTCATAAGGTTCATGATTGTTCGTAGAATCTCATTTTGAAACTTTCCTATTGAGTTCATGGTTTACGAATGTTTTGTTTTATTTTGCTGTATCTGAGGATGAGGCGCAAACATGGGATTTGGAGTTTGAGTTCGCAAGGGAGGATGAGACCGATGAATGATGGTTTTTTCAATTTCAATTTGCTGGTGTTATTGGCCACGAAGACGAAGACCCAGTCCTCTTGCGAACCAATGTATTTGATCCAAAAACAAACATTAGATTTAGATTTTTATTTTTATTTTTATTTTTTTTTGGATTACGATTAGCAATAAAATCGAACATTTTCTTTTGAGAGAGAGCCAAGTAATCCAAAACAGAGAAATCAGTTTTTAATATATATCAACCAGAAGAGAGTAGAGAAGAAAGAAGAAGAGAGAGGATAGATGAGAGAGGGGAGAGGACAAAAGAGAACAACGCACTTCAAAGCAGGCTGAGTGAGACAAGGCAAAGCATTCTGAGGGAGATGATGCGGAACGTGCTGAGGGAGACGATAGCTAGTTTCCTCGTTTAGTCTTCGAAACCCATGTCTTGGCGTGGGTTTTGAAAGCCAGTGTATGCTGGACTATTATCCGGAAAAATAATTGAATTCTAACCAGTCCATGATCCACTCCAAACAACGGATTGGACCCATGTCCATTTTAATTAGATATATCCAATCTAGTCCAGCTCATCAAACATGGTCAAATTCTATACCTACCTCAGCCCCTTAGGTGAGGTATTTTATCAAAATGTTGCCCCCCACACTCAAACAAATAAACATAAAATTCATAGGCAAGTTCATGGTGGAGAAAAGGCAGCGAGGGCAATGACCTTCACTGGCCCTTGCTAGATCCACCAATGAAGAGAGAGGATTTCTCACACACACAATACCAATGTGTCATGAATGTTCAAATTTGAGACATGATTTGCAAGTTAAGGCATTTTTCCACTTTTTTCTACCGGGCTAGATCCCGTTGGCAAATTTGCAACTTTATTGTGAAAAAAAAATACGAAATAAGAATAAACACACATGATAATAACTTATCTATTAATTTCTACAGTTGAATGAATATAATTAACAATAGCGGCTCCCAACTTTTTGGGGGAGCAAGTAGCAATATGTATAAAGCAAGTAAAACACAGAGGCAATATCCTTAATTTTCATTGCCTCAATAGTTTGAGCTATAAATAAGATAAATACGAATGCCCTTGAACCATTGCAATTTGCAAAGCAATTAATTAAGTGCCTATGGAGAGCTAATTAATTAATTAAATTAAGATTATCAGAACTGGTTGCGGGATGAAAATGTTTGTCCAAAACTCCAAGTGGAAGGAACAACATTGGAAAATACTAGTGCTCTTCCATCAACCAACGTGAGCTTGAAAGAGAGCTTCTGGTTTCGGAGATCGATGCTGCTTTGCCAATTTGCACCCCAATTCCTATGCATGGGCAGCCACGTCCCTTTCCTCATCCTCGACCCCCTTATCCATGCAGCCTTCACGTCCCCACTTCCTCCAACGTTGGATATCATCACCATGTTGAAATTTGACTGTCCCTTCAAGGTGAATCGAACCCCTCCTCTTCTTTGACAAGACACCCTAGTTGCAATTTGCAAAGTAGATGTTATGATGTTAGACGACCACTTTATCCAAAACATACGTAAGCAATTGAGAAAATGAGCCAACAATGTATATCAAAATATCATAATAAATTAACAATGCATATCAAACTAACACCCTTTCTTTATGTGCATATCCTGCATGGAGAGAGGCAAACAAATGTAAATCTAAGTCAATCAAATCCAATTTGGATTACAGTCCCAATCTGTAATTAGATTATATATATCAGTTTTTATAATGGTTTAATTTTATAAAATAAAATTAATTTGTAATTTGTAATTGTAGTGAATGCCTATTATTAATTATATCTTTTGTGCAATAATATTAGCCATTATTGATTGTTTTGTTATACTACCTTCTATAAATGACAGGAACTATGCCTTCATTGCCTTGTCGTGCAATGCGAAGAAAAGCTGGCGTGGACATGTCAAAGTGTTGGTGAGGGGCATTGCACCACCCTCCGTTGTTGTTCGGGGGGCAGAAGTTTGTGGCGGTAACCGTTACGGCACGGCGTTGAAGGCACCACTTGGGATCGATCCTGTAGTTGCAGATCACTTGGTAACAAGCCCCGCATGCCTCCCCTCCTCTGAAAAGTGTGCTGCTCACTGCTGCTGTGTTCACTCCAAACCCCGCATGGAAGGTGTTGTCATAACCACAAGCACCCCCTATATGTATATATATTTCAGGTCACCATCAATCCATAATGTTATTTACACTTTAATTAATTATGATCACCAATTGAACAAACAAAAGAATGAAGAAAAACATTTATTTGCTACGATATTACACATTAGTTACTAATGATCTCGATACATATCGTTCACAAAATAGATTATCTTCTGTTGATGATCTTGTTAGGGCTGATCTTGCACTTATGTCCGAAACTTCGAGGTTTAAGAACTAAACACATCTTGGGTGGCAATTAGATAATTATATAAAAATTCGTACGTAGTTCTAAACATAAGCACAAAATCACCATAAAAAGTTCAAAATCATAAGCAGAGGATCCGAAGACAAAAACAACTTACATATATGAAAGTTTTAGCAATATATTAGCTACCTGTCATGTAAAAGACAGCATTTATTTTGTCAAAACGTGACACTTACCAAGGGTGGCGGGATCCTGGTTCGTCCCATAGAAAGTTGCATGGCCACTGAGCCAGCCGTTGGCTTCGACATTGACGATGATCATGCCCTCCAAAACCATACTAACCAACAAGAAAATATGCCAAAAAGAAGCACAAGAAGAAACTGCAGAAAAACCAAGAGGAGGCGCCATTTAATAATTTCCCTCTGAATTCTAGACAAGCACACAGGTTTCTATACTTGTTCTGAGGCAAACTCTACAAGCTTCAATGGTTCCTTGAAGAGACAGCTTCCCTGACTATTTATAGACTGATCGAAACGCTCGTCGGTGACTTAAATAAAATGTAGATCATGAACCTTAATGAATTATTATGCACACAAAACGCGTTTTTCCACGTCCTGTGAATATGAAGAAGTACGGAAAGGTATGTACGATCGGGAATGACAGTTATGAGACATGATAGAGCAAGTGCATGTGAGAGAGCAGCTAACTTTGTGCGATCTGTTTTTTCAAAATCACATGTCGGTGATTTGTTGGCCTATGCTATATATTAAAATTAGGGTTACACAATTTGAGCACGAACCAATTCGAAATTAGCGAGTTTGAATTCACAATTATATCATTTGAGACTCAAATTTGGTACACAAATTTGGTCATACATGACACAATTCATTAACCAAACAATAAATACAACTGAAATGTTGATCGTGTCCGCCGATTTTAATCTTTAACTATAGTTATATATTATATGAAGAATTCTATAATGAGGGCATTATATATGGTCCTTAGCTGAGTCCTATCTCTTAATCGTTGAATCAAATTGGTTAGTTGTTGAATCAAATTAGTTAGTCTGATTCAACGATTAAGAGATAGGACCTCACTTAAGGGTCATATATAAGGCCCTCACTATAAAATGACTCTGAATGCGTGATAGATTGCGGTTGAAATAAGGGGACTTTGATATATAGGGCTTCTCTATCTTAGATGGACCTCCTCATTGCTGTGAAGTTGTGAACACATGCTTCTTTAGGGTTTCTAGGCCCATGAACGTTTTAGCTTAGTGTTTCCTTTTCTTTTTGGGAACCTTGGGCCCCAAACCCAAATGTACTAAACAAAAAGGTTGTTAATGTCTACTTGAAAAATACTACAAAAATTCAATTTAAAAAAAGAAAAAAAAGTTATATGCACAGATAAAATACATTTCGCAAGAGTTGTTTCTGAAATATCTCTAATAGTCTGTATATTCAGTATGATGAACATTTCTTACAACTGTACAAAAGGAAACCTATAAACAAAAATGTTCAGAACAAGAGAAGGCACAAAATAAAGCAGCAGAAGAGAAAAATGGTTACTCTGTTGAGAGATTTGTCAAGCTGCACTTCCTGCCTTCTCATCCTAGGACTGCTTGGGGGGTAAGAATTCATATAAGGGTAACTAAATATACTTGTGTCCGAGCTTCCAAACATCCTTGCAAATACAAACTCTCCAACCATTCCAATTGTTGGATGGGATAAAGTTGTCATCGTTGCAGCCCCAAGATAAGATGATTCTGAGTTTGCAGCAAAACCTCCATGTGAAGGCTCAAGATCGGATGATTCTGAGTTCGCGGCATAACCTCCCTGTGAAGGGTAATATTGATCGTGAGCAGGCTGTGAATGCCTCTCTAAATAATTTGGATCGAGTTGCTGTCTCGGCAATGATGCAGCGAGAATATTAGTCATCAAAGTGTTCAACTCAGGCGATGGTCTGCGTGGTACGACCTGCCCCAACTGAGGTTTCTTTCCTTCAGAATCTGAATGGGATGTTCCGCGGCCGTAGAGGGGAACCAACAAAGCATGGGTGATGTTAGCCTTACAGACAGGACAAGTTCCCTTCATATGGGATGGTTTATCAGAGGTGGTTGGAACCTGAAGCCACTTGTAGATGCATGGCCAGCAGTACAGGTGACCGCATAGAGTCACAACAGGTTCATTTGCTGAATCTAAGCATATGTTGCAGTCAAAGCCACCATCATCATTCTCTGAGTCTGTAGTTAGGGTTGAGATTGACTTCCACTTCTTGATCGAAACATCTGCATCTGAGTCGAAGTGTCCCTCAGGCTCATAGAAGTTCTGTTCCATAGTGATGTGTCCTGTTACAAAACAAGGTCATCTTCATTAGCATGCATAAAGACACATACCCACACAGGAAGAGCAAAACAATTAATATACCCATTCAAGCAAGCGTTATAGTGTGAGTTTGTGTTGGTGACTGTGTGTGTGTAAGGAGAGAGAGAGAGAGAGAGAGAACAGAGTCCACCAATCAATAATACAAAAGCAAAGGAATTTACAATATTGCAAAAATAGTTGTTCATAGATATAATGACCTCTAAGGGCGAAAAAAAAAAACTTTGATAATCAATCTCAACAATGCCACTGACGACGCTCCTAAACCAGACTTCTAAACAGACACTAAGCATTTAGAAAAGCACAAATGAATAAAACAAAGTGACACCAACATATAAAGTAGTGTAGGTTAAGTTTAAATTGACAAAATGACAGAAGGATACAGTATTATTTATTTGGAGGACAAAAGGCAAAGGTTCTCCAACCCACTAATCATAGAGAATATGAATGGCCCCTACCTATCTTAATCCTAAACAAATGAAAAAGATGGATATGAATAATTATTGTGGTCCTCTGAAATTCTTATATTTCACATCTAGCACCTCTAAAATCAAAAGGCCAAGCTGGTTGTGCCAATTTTTTCCACAACATAACAGTACTCTCGATATCTTAAATAATAAACCGTTAATAATAAGAATTCGACTGTCTTTGTTCACATGGTCAAGGGCTGAAATCAGGTGATGGGAAGTTACTATCTACAATTCAGAAAGCAAATATATTTATCTTATTGTTAGAGGCAAGAACTTGTTCACTACTCTGAATGAAGAAATGGTTCACCAACTTGAGGGAATTGCAGGTCAAACTGTATGCAAAGACTAAAATGTTTCATTCTATTATCCTGACAATCAGTTCAATACACAAAATAAAATATAATTCTGACGAATAAATCCACATATCCCAGAGTAACATAACAAGGTTTGAGTAATCCAGGTTCTAAAAATTACAGATCCTGATTCCAGATTTCAAACCAAGCCAAACGCACCCATGAAAAATATATTGGAAGAAGAAACAAGGGTGCGAGAGAGGAATTTTAAATTGTGAGGGATTTATGATTATCAAGGATCTAACAAAAGCATGATTATCAAAGAAGATTAAGGTTGAATAGCAAAGAATGATCCACCAAAGCTAGTTGGATTAAGGCTGAAGTGGGGTTGAGTAGCCAAGCTTTAAGACCATGAGGGAATCCATTCTAGAGGACGATTTAATTGCAAGTAAACAAATTCAGTAGCATGATTAAAGCCTTTCATAAAAATAAAAAAATATTAGCTTAAGATGCTCACTTTTTGGGATTCTTGGTTGCTAAAGTTAACCCTTAACACAAAATTTTCAGATTCCCAAAGAAAATTCCCAATTCTCAGTAACCAAATCAGGAATTCCCATAAGATACAAAAAAAATTCTTATTTCCAAGTCCCTAATTTCCTTTCATTGATAGTATGAGTCAGACATCCCGCTAAGAGCTAAACGTTAGCAATTGACACAATGTTTTTTTTATAGGATTGATAATGGGAAAAAAATTTGAGTTCCAAAATCACAAATTGGAGAACCATGAACACAGACAATGGGAAAAAAAATTAGACACAAAAAGAATCACTTCTATGATAAATTCCAAAATCTAGAGGCCAAAAGCCCTGTTAAAAGACAATAGTCACATTAAGATATATAAACTTTGGGTTCCAAAACAACTTTTCCCAAGCTAATTAAATGCAAGCCAAAAACAAGTACTCCTACACAGATCATAACTACCCAGGAAATCCAGGCAACGGGTTTATATATTCTGGGAATACGTTTCCCCAAAAAAAAAAAACCATGAAAATTGAAGACCCAACAAATGAAAGGAAAAGGCAAACCAACCATCACTGTTCTAAACATGATAATCAAAATCCAAGAGAAACCCATCATAGAAAATCAACAAATTCAAAAACTTTCACAGGAAAATTAAAAAAATAAATCAAAGAAAAAAAATTAAAAAAAATAAGAGAGAGATAATGCATACCGAGAAAGAGAAACGGCTAGAACCGATCGAGGTGGGAAATGTAATCCAAAAGCGTGCTGGGAGCGAATCTTGCGAGTTACGAAAGAGAGAAAGAAAAGGCACAGAGAAGGCTTTGATTGTTTGAAACAAGAGGAATGGCGGAGAGCGAAAGGAGGAAGGAGAAGGCTTTAAGAATACAAAAGATCTCGAGTGTCGATATTGGTATTGGGGTTTTCTTATGTGAATATATAGATATATATACACTGACCATTCATATTTCACCCTTTTAACCGCGTCTGGTCTTCAATGAATCAACGTATGAATGGAGTTAGGGTTGTTCTGTTCAACGTCTTGGACCCGCCATTTTCATTTTTCTCCCCTTTGTTGTTTTGTTTGATTGTTTTGTTTTTTTCTGTGATTCAGGTTTTAAAGATGGGTTCCTTGCCACGTTTGAGGGACCTGGCAAAAGCAGAGAAAATACTTGTAAAATAATTTTCTTTTATCAAATCTTTACCAAAATTGTTTTTCGTTTTTGGTAATAGATATCAGGTTAAAATATTCTTGCCACCTCTGCTTTTTGTGTATTTTGTAAGGTTCACGTTAATTTTTCTTTGGATGATCTAATATTAATATCTGCATTTTAAGAATCATGACAATTATTGATAATAAAAACGGAATCATGACAACTATGATTAACAAGAGCTATTAGCATGATTCGGTTGGTTAGATCAGATGATCATAACATTGTGCTCACCTCCTTAAATCCGGCCGGATTTTCCTATTGTAGTTTAGAGTAGACTAATAAAAAGTTATTAGTGATAATAACAATTACCTCAAAAAACCAAAAATAAAAGCTTATTGGCAAATAATAGATAAGGATACATGCCTTGTTTTTCTTTTGTTACAATTTTAACACTTCATTATCCTTTTAAGCGTTGGATTTAGAAATAACCCCAAGTTAATTTTGACAGATAGTGATCCAGGTCAACAGGAAAAGTCCCTTCCATAACGAGTCTTGGTATTTCTAGTAACTTCTTTCTTATCAACCGAAATGCCCCTTGGATTAGACCCCAAAAACAAATCCACGTACATAGTTTGAAAGAAATGTGTTACACTTGCATCACATGCAGCCAAAAATTCCCATTTGGGTCAAAATCTTAGCAGCCTTAGCTATTTGCTGTTTGGCCAATGCCAACGCCCGGGAAACTTCCTAGCTATGAATTACAAGAAGAAGAAGAAACAACTAGAACCAACGACTATAATGACACCAAATTTTTTTGACCAAAGAAAAATATTAGGCAATAGTGTTAACTGTCCAATACTTTTTTTAAACAGAAATTTGACAAGTTATAAATAAGTGTAAAATTGACAATAAAGATTATACAAATTTATAAATAAACTCAATCCTAGACATGTATTTATAAAAAAATCCAAGCACTATTTAAATATAGAAACACACCCAAAATCAACCCCAAAGTCAACTTTTTGGGTATGTTTATAAATGGGTTTTGAGTGTGTGTAATGATGGATTTTGGGTGTGTTTATATGTTTAAATAGTGCTTGGGTGTTTTTATAATTTCAACATCCATTTTGGGTGTTTTAGTGAAACTCCCGTAGTGGTCCGTATTTAATTGGAGAATGTACTATTTTGTGAGTATAACGGACTTTCTTTTAAAAATATCTTGCAATTTTTTTAAATTTTTTATTTAACAAAACCTTAGACTAAATAAAATATATCTGACCATCTAGAAGAACGTGACCAAATATATATATATTTGTTTTAGAGAAAAAAGTAGGGGTTGGATGTTGGTGATTCGGCTGACTAGACCATTATCTAATACTGTGGTCCCAACTCTTAACTCTAATTAATTAGTCTTTTTTTATATAGAAAAATTGATTAGTCTAATTTGGTAGCATGTGGGACCAGCAAATCAGCCTAGTTAGCTTGATAAGCAAGAAATGATGATAACATGCCTAATTATGCGGGGCCAGTGTGTGAAGGTTGCTCCGCACGTTCATGAGTCATCTACTCGTCTTCTAGTACCATTACTCCTATTCCTAAACACGTGGCGCTTGCTTTGACACGTGGTTTGAACTAAACCAGTGACTAAACCAGGGGGCCGTAATTCTAGAAGCTTCTTGGAATTAAAATTCAACTTTTTCAGATGTGTTGCCTAGAAATGTATCGTGGGTTCTCATATATTTTTCTGTTGTTACTGTTAACGGTTACTCATTACATTACCGTCAGGTTATTTATAAATGTGAGACTCCATCCGGTATACAAGTTATATTATAAGAGCATTTTCAACGGCCTCTTCAAATTGCAGTTTATTAACCTATAGCTAAAATCTCATCTAAATTCTTGCCGTGGTCCACTATGATATTGCAAAGTCTAACATATAAGGCATTGATATGTATACAAGACGAAGATAATCTTTGATCCGCAAGTTAGTTTGAGAACAAATTTATAACCATTTTTGTTCAAATCAAGACCAAATCAAATCTCACTTTTTCTTTAACTCCACCATGTGCAAATGATTTTTATTTTCGATGTTCAAGTTGATCAGAGTTGGTTATCCCTAATGAGTTGTACTTTAAGTCTTTAGAAATTTGTTATATTAGAATTTTAAAAAGTCTCTAACAAAATATAAAATATTTGGTTATGAGAAAATTTTATAAATAATTCGGTATAAATCCAATTCTTATAATAGAATTTGAGTGCAATCCACACACGTATTGTTATAATCCAAATCCTCTTACTTCAATGCCACAAAAGAGTACATTCCTTTTCTAATTTTATGATGTAATCATATATATTTTTTCTTTTTAAATTTATTTTCATGTTCTAATTATGCCCTTATAATTTAAATTGGGGAAAGACTGATTTATATCATAATAATTAGCTAATTAATACAACTATTGATTCGGATTGCAATCATAAACGGGAAAAAAATTAATTTTATGCCAATAATTACTATATTTGACCTTATAGTTAATTATGATTTAAATTTATAAAATATTTTCTTGTCTATCTATTTAAATTTTGAAAATCCCATAAACATGTGCTAATACAAGAATAAATAAATAAATAAATAAATTTTCTGTAATCTTTCTTCTTCATCTTCTTCTTTCTTCTTCCTTCTTTTTCTTCTTACAATCCTATGGAGGAGGTATAATTATCTATGGACTAGGAATATACATGAATGTTAATTAGGTATGGATAGGTAAATTACCTATGGAGGAGGTATACATATGAATGCTATTTATCTATGGAGATGGTATAGATATGAATGTTAATTACCTATGGAGAAATTACCTATGAATGAGATATACACAAACCTGCAAAGCAGGTAAACCACCCAAAGACGTATATGCCTCACCACAAGGTATTCACTAGTTGAAAGCGTTTGATAAATTGAGATTAATTGTAGAAATGTTATATTAATTTATTGATTGCAATAATTAATAAAATTTAGAGGATTAACTGTATAATGGCAATATGTGTAAATGTTTTAAAAACAATGGCCAAGGCTTTGCATACTTGGCTGGTCTGTTGAGTCGATAAACCCAATTCTAGAGAAGTGGACTGCATTCATAGTGTAAACTCAAAATTGGACCTATATTAAAAGACCCCGAAATTTAATACATATATGCTTCATACGTGAAGACAATCTTGGCTACCAAGGTGTGAAGTTTTATCTTAAAATATCTCGATGTAATTTAGACGCAAGGTGACAAGCTGATAGACTGTTGTGGTTGTTTGTTGGGGGGTGGAGGCGTGGCACATCCTCTTTGGTCGTCTCTAATCTTAGCATATTGCACTGATATTATTCTCAACCTAATGACCTAGGCTTGTATGCTCTCATGAACCCATCTCTAATCTTAGCATATTGCACTGATATTATTCCCAACCTAATCACCTAGGTTTGTATGCTCTCATGAACCCATCTAAATATGGGATTTTATCTCAAAAATTCTCGATGCAGTTTAAAGAGAGATACAACTTAAGTGTTTGTAATGTAAAATTATAAAGTGATGATAATACGAAACTAAACAGGTCCCATGCCACTTCAAAAGTCAAGTCCAAAATCCATACTTCTTTTGATAGTTTTATTTTTCGAAAATCCGTACTAGCTAGACGTAATATTTTTGTATTGAGCAATCCCTTTCATCGTAGTCTCTAGTAACATGCAACCCACTTCAGCTTTTGTCATTCACAAACAAAAAAGGAAGAAAAACAAAAACTTCCATGGCAAAATTCAAGGTTAATTTGGTGTACATATTTCAAATGTCTGTGATCTTAGCTATCACGTGGTAAAGAGAAGAGAGTACGAAAGAATAGTAAACAGAGCACACCGCAGAAAGATTCTAAATATGATAAGTCGCCCTTGTATGCGAGAAGAAGGAAATGAAGAACGGAAACGAAACGAAAGCGTTTCTAGCTCTGACCAAGACTCCACTTTTTGCTCCCCCAATTTCCTGGAATGTATATAGACCAAAAAAGGGAATGCAGGGATAGGAATAAGAATTATAGCACCATTGGAAGCATGACATCTCCGCTGACAAACCATTTCAGTAAGACGTATGGGATTGGAATGTCTGCATTCATTTACTTTATTTGATATGGAACCATACACACAAACCACAACTAGAAAATTCAAGATAGCTTGTGAAGTTTGAATTGTGACAAAAAAAGATGAGATCGATGGAAACTGTGGAATGCTATATGGTCCTACCTTATCCAAAGCAAACAATTAAGCCCGGCCTTATCATCAAGCCAATCATTAGGTCCTGGCTTAGGCTAAAAAAGAAAGATTCTCATATTCTAATAAGTCCACTTCATTTTGTTAATTTCATCCGATTACTTTTCTCACGTCACCAAAATTACATGAAAAAAGAAAAATTACTCACATTAAATTCTTGCACAAATTGATCTAAAACTTAGAAAAAAAATACTTGTTTCTCTATGGACCACGAAGTTATAACTCATTGTATATGCGAGAGTTGAGAAAAGAGTTCGAACGAGATTTTTGTTTTCGTCTTCTCGTGCTCAAGTTGGGAAAGGATTTGGTGTGTGTAACATCACTCGTTATGATTTTGATTCTTGTACATTTTATTACTTGCGTTTCCAGTATTCTATTCAAGCTACATTATTGTTATTTCATACTGGTATAGTAGCACGTCCGCAAACACGTTCTAGTTTCTAGACGCCGGCGGAGAAAGTAGTGAAAGAAAGATTAAGAAGAAAGGGCATCACGCACTATCCCACATGCAAATTTAGTTGGACACTGATTCAATTCAATATAGATCTAGAGTTGACAAAATCAACGTATGACTTGTAAATTAAAATGCTATATATTATTATGCAAATTTCAACCCTAAAATTAAGTGTAAAAGATATTGGCTGACTTGCCCTCCAGTTGTACCAGAAATTTCAGAGAAATCCCATACGTTCATGATCATATGCTCAACTTTTGATCCAATGTTTCAGTGAATGCTAATTTAACCTGTTGTTTCAGAGCTCATTCATATTCAATCTCATATATATGGCGCTTTCGTGCACATAATTGTTGAAAATATTCATTTAAAATGTCAAATAATCTCCAAATTAATTGTATGTTTTATGCAAATTGCAAGTAAATGTCAACAAGCAACTCATCGAATTTATTTTAATCTTCATGTCAGTGTCAACTCATCGAATTTTTCGTTACGATATATTAATATAATTTTTTTTAAAGAATTTTCGAGTTCGATTGATTAGTATATAGGATAGGACTGATGTGTGCTGTTTATAAAGCAATAATTTAATTTAATTTAATTTTTTTTTAAGAATAAGAGCAATTTAAGGAGATCAAAAATGAATCTATGAAGTGTGATAATCCAGAAGAATGTGACCGTCTTTCGTTCTTTGCAGTCCTCTGACTTTCGAAATGCATTTGATGAAAACGTAAACCATTGGAAGTTGGAACTTTCTTAGTTATGATGACTGGACTTTTTTTGGTCAGAAGATATGCTGACTGGACTCATATCCATATATGTAGTCATGTGGACCCCAACGAGAAAAAGCCATCATCAGCCACGTGTTGCTTCCACTGATGTGACATTTGGCATTGGATTATAGCATCGGATGATGATCAGGATGCTTGGCTTCTTATCAGGAGGCCTTATGGTTGGATGTTTCCTAATAGGATTGTGCTTGTAGAAGTCAAAGTTAATCAGAAGCTAATGTTGATTTGATATATAAATCTAACACGTCATTTCTTTGTTAAACAAAATAACATCATCCAATTAGGCTTAGAAATTTACAGGAAGATTTTGGACCAAATATTATAGGAAGGTATTTAAGTCAAAAACTCATAAACAGTTCCATTCCGTTCTTGTAGCCGTCGCCCCCCGAAAGATTTGGTTTTGGGATATGACAGAAGAGTTTACTTTTGCATAGTAGAACTTTGATTTGTAAATCAACTTACAGAATACGTATGGAGTACAAAATTCCTATTATATACGTGATCTATGAGAGAATAATGACACGTTTACTCTCTATGAAATACGTATTACAAATATTTCGAATTTTGACTTCCTATCCCTTTATTAGCACATACGAAATCAAAAAAGATTGTGGCCCTCAATTTACAATATGTAATCCACAATTCATGAAAAATCTGAAATTAAATTGATTGAGAGTAGTTGATCTCATACCTATGCCCATGATCCTATACATATTCTCGATTTTCCAATTCACGAGTTACCTCATTCCAAATTAGTAACTGACGTAACTGCTTACAAAGTAGCATAGCATCCAAAGATATACTACCGGATCAAACTAAAAACAAAATGCGGATTTGTTTCTAGATATATTGTGCGACATGAATTCAATACATGTTGTGAATTTAGTGCAGAATTTGCGGGTGGTCAACAAGAGGGGAGGGGTTGGCATGTGCTCAATCAAGTTATTCCCGAAGCTACATAAACAGGTTTGGAGACCAAATTTAATAGAAGGATAAGGTTTACACGTATGAAATTGATTTTGGGTAAGAGATGATGAGATGTGGTTGATTGAATAAATGTGCATAGCCAGAGTTAGCTGTTTCATTCATATGTTCACATTGGAATTGAAAGAGAGTTTTGTTTTGATCAATTCGGACGACTTTTTGAGTTTTATCCATACTCAGAGCCAGTTTTATAGGATGAGGGATTGAAGGAACCCCAAAAGAATTTTGAGTGTAGATGCGATTTCAATGAATGAATCTATAGCAGCTGCCGCTAAAGCCTGTCAGTTCACACTAGATCTGCAGCAATGTGATTCTTGTGCATAATATTTTATTTGATTTGGTGCTTAAAAGTCATATGTCAGTCTTTTTTTTTTTTTTTTTTTGGTTTCAAACAAGGATCTTGGGTTCTTTCTTCAGGATAAAAGAGGCATGAATCACCCTTTCCAATCTCACTATTCATTTCTCTTGGTATAGTTATCTTTTAAAAAAACACATTGTATCTCAATTGAGACAGCCAAAAAGCTCCAAGTTATCAAACCCGTAAGCCAACGGGTACCTTGACTTGCAGACCAATAATCTCATATTCAAACCCCAATGACACATTGGTAGTTTGTGTGTGAGAAACTCCCTCTCCATTGTATTTTAGACTATCACTTGTATTTTAAAAAACAGTAAAAATAGATAGGGCTAAACGTACCTAGAGATGAGAGTCTGCGAAGATTATGACCAAACCAGGCAATAAGCTTCATCATTGATGCTATATATTGCAAAAATGACCTACAAATACAGGCCAGAGGCTCACAAAAGCCAGCCATTCACTTCTCTGTAGACATAAAATCTTCTGAGTGTGACAATCTGTAAGGAACAAAAGGGCAGCCTACACCATCAAATGGGGCTTTTAACAAGTTTACTCCCCTTCCAAAGATCAGTGCTAAGAAGATAAATCAGTGTGAACACAAAATCTTTCCCGCTTGTAGGTTCTTCATAATCACGGCTCTGCATAAATATATGCACCAGAATGTTTCATAAGACTAATTAAGGTATGAACTTCGGTCGTATGGAGGAAATGATTATTAAGTGGTTTTCTTGGTGCCTGTGAAATAAGATTTTCAAATTACCTTTCTTTTTTCTTACCATTGTAGCCTCAAATTTTGATTAAAAGAAAATGAGAACTAACAAGAATTTGTGTCAATATGTATGACCCTTAAAACCTCAAGACTGACCCTATGTGGAGTCAAGGACTGCAATCTGCATAGTTAGGAACGTCGAACGTCCCCAAAAAGGTCAAAACATTTTATGATTCAATGGATTTAAAGGTTTCTGTGAGCACATACAGCAGTTAGAAACAGTTAGATTTTGATAATGAAATTTGAAGTACACAAGAAGCGAGGTGAATTTGCCTGCTCTACGCACCCTGCAGACAAGATTCTGACCATTACAAAATGAAAATATGGACATCTAAATATCCCCTACAGTTTTAATTTAGTAACTCCCTCTCACCTTAAACATCCCACACACTCATACCCACCACCTCTCATTAGCAAGACAACCATAGGATTTAATTCAAAAGGCTGTCCTGCATCAAGTGTAAACTTAAACTTGACTTGCCCACCACCAAATTCAACATTGTATAGAGGTGATTCCTACAGTCCACTATCACTCAGGTATCTTGCAATGACAAGGAGTTTGGCATCAGAAAGAATGTTACCAAACATCAATCCTAATCCTCAGGACACCCCACGTACTAAGAAACTATAAAGGAAAATCCCCTAAAGGTGACCCCAAAAGGGTTGGCATGATTTTCAGGACTATTTGTTTGTAGTATGACGGCTCTATTCATTGAACAGCCCCTTGGCATTATCTCATAAGGAATTTCACTTTGGTGCTTAACCTGCTAATATGTATTTCCAAGTAATTCTACATTCATATTGTTTAAGTGCATCACACTATGATCTTCAATCCAAGACAAAGAAGCACAACTGTAACAAAGGCAAGCATGTCCAAAATTCCCACGTACACAACTAACATTCTAAAAGAGAGATTCAGGTAATAAATAACTAAGTAACTCTGAAAAAAACAAAAAAAAAGTTACAGCTTTATCCAAGTAAACTATACACAAGCAGACATTAGTTTATTTTGGTATCTGAACTCTGAGACATCAGAATCTAGAAAGAGAAAAAACACATACAAAGGCGCAGCTTAGGTCCAGCAAATACATTCATTACTTACCACCTCTATAAGAACTTTTCTATGCTGGTGGTTAATGTGGATTTGGGAACAGCGCCGATAACTGCATCTTTTTTCTCGCCACCCTTGAATATGATGACAGTCGGGATGCTTCGAATCCCATATTGGGTTGCAATTGCAGCACCTTCATCAGTGTTTACTTTGTAGCATTTAAGCTTCCCAGCATATTGCTTTGCCAGTTCATTAATTATAGGGTGGATCATCCGGCAAGGCCCACACCATGGGGCCCAGAACTCAACCAAAACAGGGGAGTCGGATTCAAGGACAAGTGACTGCCACGTTGCATCAGTAACAGCAGGCACTGCAAATGTTTAAACTACTTACAATCAAGAATAAAAATTACAGCAGTGCAAAGAGCGATAAACAAACATATGTGAAAACTAAAAGCTTCCCAATGCTCCGGAGATAGATTGCATAGAAAGAAACAACCAGTTCAATAAGCACACCTGCTAGGTCAAAACAAAACTTTTCTTATAAAAAATTTAAACCATTATTATGCTTGACCTATTGCCTATAAACAGGTCCTGATATATTGACCTTAGATGAGTAAACATATGTACTTTCATAAGTATAATAATGAAAAGTAAGCGTGTATCTACACACAATTTTGGTCCCATCACTAATCACTCCCAGCATCCCTAGGTTTATTATTATATTCTGTCTTTAATGATCAGTCAGCATAATTCTGTAAACATTTCACCTGAACTCGTAACATTGACTTCGGAATAATTTAGTCAGTCACCATGAATTAAGTCCCTGACAGTCACAAAAATGGTCTGTCTTTAGGCTACCAGGCAATATTTCCACTATCCACTGGTTCAACCAAAAAATTACAAGAAACCACAAATTACTAAGATAAAGATTGCCTAAGACTCTAAAGTTCATCTTCAGAACCATTTGACGATGCTTCTTACATGAGCTCATCCTCAGTTGTCAGTTCCTACTATCTTTCCAGATTCACAATCTCAAACTATTTTTGAGTGAATCCCAAGTTTTCTCATAAAGTTCTAAAACCAATATAATATATTTCTTCAATCTCAGGGGGACACTAACATCTCTTCAGATCAGCTATTCCATTTCCAATCGTTTGCCAATTGTTTCCTTTCATTTTCAAACTCTTTACAAGAAATTCCTGCCATCGCATCAACTAATTATGATAGCTATACGATGAAACGTCTTTACTCAATTATCTAAGCTAACATGCTAAACAAAACAGAAACTTTCAAAGGCTGCAAGCTCAAAACTTTCAACTTTACAAAGTAAATAGATAGCTATACGATGAAACGTCTTTACTCAATTATCTAAGCTAACATGCTGAAAAAAACAGAAACTTTCGAAGGCTGCAAGCTCAAAACTTTCAACTTTACAAAATAAACGATTTCCATCAATCATCTGATAACAACCCAAAAATCAAACCAATAATAAATAGACAAAAATGACGTAACTAATAGAAATGAGAAGAAGAAAAAAAATCCTATTTTATACTTGATTTCCAGACAACAAAAACACATCATCTTAAAGTAAACAAGCTAAAATCATGACAGGAATGGCGAAATTACGACACTGACCTTCGACAGCGGTGTCCTGAGCCTCGCAGACGACGAGCCCGCCTCGGCGATGACGAGCTCCTCCGGCAGCGCGACCGTAACTCGGCGATTCGATAGAGCGAGTTCGGAGAGCGGACCCCACCTTGAGGCCTCTGTAATGACGCAATCCAGAGCGGCCGGACAAGGACGAGGAGGCGGCCGGGGGGGGGGGGGGGGGCGGGAGGGGGAGAAACGATGAGGGAGTCGAGGACTGTAGCCATGGCCGCAGAGGATCGGAGCTGAAGAGAGAGAGAGGTGAGAGAAGCTTTATTGTGATGGGGAGATTTTTAGGGTGGAGACGGAGTAGTTGATGAAGGAGATGGAGATGGAGATGGAGTTAGAGCAGGCAGCGAGCGAATGGATGGGGAGGACTGTGGCTAGCAAAGGCATTTGGTATTATTGGATCAGACGACAACTGAGGGGGTCAACTTCTCTCCTTTGACTCTTCCTGCTTTTTGGTGAAGTGACCAATCAAATTCCACCACCTCACCACCACTATTAACAATTTCGATTGAAATAATTTTATTCATGGCATCTAATTTTTTTCTCTTTCTTTTTTATTTTCTTTGCATTGTTTTAGTGAGAATAAAAAGAAATTTGCTACAAACAGTATGACAACAATTTAATACTTGAAAGATATGTTGGGAATTGCTCCTTGTCTCCATTTGATGATTTTACATCAATCCTTGTAGTGTGTTCCTCCAAATATGTTTGTTATCTATGGATTCAAACTAAGAGTAGTAATCAATTTAGATTTACACAAATTTTTTGTGGAGTTTACTTTTTTCTTTAATTTAGATGAGGGTCCTATTGAAAAAATAATAGCCTCATGACTACATGTGGTTCATGAAACACATTTTTTTCGAACTTTCATGAGTTTCGAAAGTAATTTGTAAAATGGAAAATGAGTTTCAAAAGTATTGTGTAAAATGAAGAATCCAATTCCGACACTCTAACACTAATGAATTTTGTTTTCTATAGAATTAATAACATTTTCGATAGAAAAGTAATTTAATAGTAGCTATTTTTTTTTCCTTTTTTTGTTTGCATCTTTTTGGTAAGCAAAAAAAAACCTATTGCTAAGAAAAGTATGGCAACAATTTAATACTTGAAAGATGTTGCAATTGCTCCTTGTCTCCGCATGATGCCTTCACATCATCCTTGTCTTGTACCTTCTAACATATGTGGTCTTTTTTCTTCATGTTGGTGCTTCTACGAAAAAAATGTGTATATTTTTTTTACCATTATCATCTACCGCTCTAAACTATTTTACAATTATCATCTACTGCTCTAAACTATCTCGTTTAGGACTATATTTTTAGGAAGGACAGTTATAAAAAACGCTTTTATTATATAGATATTGACATTTTCAGGAGAAATCTATGTAGGAGTGCTAGAAAGCACTTCTATGACTCAAAAACACTTCTAAAATTTTCTAACAAACGTTGTTAGAATCAGTTTTAGTTGTAAGAAAAAGCTTTTAGTCCTTTCAGAAATATTCCAAACACACAAGAAATATAGTGGGTTTAGATGTATATAAGTTCTTGTGGAGCTTACTTAAGAGGTACTCTTGTGCAGAACTATGTAGGCCTTCATAAACTTTTCAAAGCAAAAATGATAACTTTTGTAGAATTAGATTAAGTGCTAGACTTTTATGAAGTTTTTAATTTTAGGTTAAATTGTAGCAATAGTCCCTAGACTAAGACCAAATTTTACTTTTCGTCACTCATATTGCTAAATTGTTACGGTGGTACTTTAATTATGCCTTCACTTTCAGAAATCTTCCTTTCCGTCATCTTAGTCAAATTTTTCATTAAAAATGATGACGTGACATGGACAAGTCCTACTTGAATGTCTTCTCACACAAAAAAATTAAAAATAAATATCTTCTCTCTACGTCCATTTCCTCTCAATCCACCCAGATTTCTTCCCATGCCAATTTCCTTTTCCTTATTCTTTTCCATCGAGTTAGGGTTTATCTGGAGGGTTTTGGATCTAATGCCTACTGGATGTATAGTTCAGAGGCTTCAAGTTCTAAATTTGGATCTAATACCCCCCCCCCCCAACAAAAAAAACCAACTTCTCCCCAGCCACGATCGATTTTTCATATTTCTTCTACCCCTGTGCCAAAAAACCAATTTCTTCCCCCACCCATATCTTTTCCCAACCCCGATTTCTCTCCCCCACACCCATCTATTTGATGAGATAACACATGAGATGAAAGGGGAATTGAAAAGGAAACCGACAATAAAATAAAGAAAACAAAAACATGAGAACAAATCTGGATTTTGAAAAGGCAAATCCTCCAACAGACCCCAAATCCAACAGACTTTAAAATCGAATTTAAAATGACAAATCTGGATTAAAATCACATGAGATGCTAATATGGCTGTCTCTGTTCAATCCAGCATATGAAATAACTCAAAAGTTGACTGAGATGAGTTCACTGAGATGACGGAAAGGACAATTTTTGAAAGTAGAGGCATAATAAAGTACCATCGTAACAATTTAGTAATATGATGGATGAAAAGTAAAGTTTGGTCTTAGTTCAGGGACCATTGTTACAATTTTGCCTTAATTTTATATTGAATCTCATTGACCTTGTTTATACCATATTTGACCGGCGAATCAGAAGACAACACGTGAAAAACGGACCCAAGAGAGGACCCGTGAAAAACCAGTAATCAACTGTGTTTCTTAAAGCACCATCAGCAGTGCGTGAGTCTTTGGCACTCTGAACTATCTATTGTAACAGAAGAAACATTGGGTTATGAATTCTTCATAGGTACACATGGCGCCTCCTCAGGCAATGTCCAGAATCCCACATCAAAATTCCACCTAAGATACACGCCTCCCAAAGTCTATAAGAAGGGGCACAAGTCCCAAAAGGAGGTAACTGCGACATTCGGCAATACTATCATTACTCTGTCTAAATCACTATTCACTCTGTACTTATTCTAATTTTAGTATCGGAGAGCCTTCAACCGAGAGGCTCAGCTGAGGAATTTGGGGGCAAGTAGAGTTCTATCTACAAGTTCATATGCTTGTCTTTTTATTTATTTATTTAAATTTATGTTAAGAAAGATAAAAGAAAAAATATTGGTATTAGTTGCTGTTCTGAATAGTGAACTTCAGGAAAAAAACTGTACAGAAAGCTCTCCTCTTGCTGCTTCTTTCTTCTCCCTTTGACTCCGATTAGTAGGATTTTTGAGGCCCCCACATTTCTGCCATATTTAAACAGCATAACACCAACCAAGCTCACTGAGTTTTAAGGAAATGGTTTCAAGGACTTCAACAACTGTAGGTCCACTAATTAGAGAAGCTAGAAGATTATAATAATCTTGTAGCTTTCTTAAGTTTCTTTCTTTCTCCTCTTTCTCTTCCTCTAAGTTGGACTTGAGCCTCGTTGAGGAGAAAGACTTCCATAAAATGAAAATATCACTATTTTGTTAATCCCGTCTAATAACACGCGTGATAGCAAAATAGTGTTATTTCCATTGCAAATCAAATTTTTCTCACATCGTTTCCAGTTTCACGTAACTTGTTGAGTTGTTCTTTCTTTGTTTAGCTTTCTGTATCCCTCTTATAGACAGTTGTTCACATCTTATAAAAGGATTTAAATGGTATTGGGTACATTTTAGAACAAATGATTACTTGCTTAGACACATGCGTTGTCATCTTTTTCAAGAGGAAACCCAACCAAACTTATTGAGGTTACAACTCATTAAACTAAGCACAGAAGCAATGATGTTGTGGATTAGTGGTATTTCCTTTTTGATGAATGTACATATATATATATATATTTATATATAAATATATATGCATGATGAAGATATAAAGTTTCAAAGCACAAATTCTAATGAAATTTTGGTGGAACGTGGAGGAATGGACAATGAGTAATGGTGTCAGCTGGGGAGAAAAGGACAATGAGTCTCTTATTTTACTATTTTGTCCTTTTAACCAATATAGGTACTTTTGTAACTTACATCTTACACCTTGTATTAAGAAAACTTTTTACTTTAATTTCCATGAAAAAGAACAAGCTTAGGAAATAGATTAGAAGTGGACAATCAGGTCAAATAGAAACGCAAACCCTTCTCTACCATTTCCTTGCTATTCTCGTGTCAATGATTTGTATACGGACTCTCAAACACATGACCATATCAAGCGTCAAATTAACCACAAGCCAATAACTCCACTTTATAAATAAAACAGACGAAATTAGAGCTTATGCAAAATTTATCTAAACCAAACAACTATATATATTATCTTACTATTTTTCTTATTAAAAAAAAAACGTCATTAAAAAATAAATATTCGAACACAAGAACGCACGAGTAACTGCTTTCAACCACTTTCTAATAAAAGTTGATTTTCATGGTCAACTTTTTGAAATGTGGTACTCATGGTACTAATTCTCATCCTTCCTAATAGAGTCGGTCAAAATTCAAACCCTCACCAACCAACCCCCTTCTTTCTCTAGGCCCCCTCTCCCTCTGTCCACTTTCCTAAACTCAAAGTCTCAAAGATTTCCATTTGGGTTTCTAGACATTACTTTATTTTGTTACAAGGCATGGAAAAAGCTCTGGAACTCGAAGAGAAGAAGCAAGGCCAAGCCATGCAAACGTTGCAACAACAAGACTCTCATCACTCTCAGGCTAAGCCTCCCAAACAAGGGCTAACAACAATCACCACCCATGTTGAGAGGCTCAAGTCTCCACCAGAAGACCAGGTCAAGCTAGCTGCCACTGCCATCACCCTCAATGTACGGTTGAGATCATCTGATATGCCAGCCCACATGCAGAACCATGCTCTCCGCCACACGAGAACGCTCCTTGACTCTGCAGCACCACCACCACCAGCCCCCAAAACTCGTCCAAACCCAACTCACCTAGCTCGGGCTCTCAAAAAGGTACACAATTTCAATCTCTCTGCGTTCTCTCTGTTGATGGGTTGCTCTGTTTTTTGGTTAATTCATTTGGGTTAATTAACTTTAATTCAAACGTGGATTGTAGGAGTTTGACTCGGTGTATGGACCGGCGTGGCACTGTGTTGTGGGAACGAGTTTTGGATCGTTCGTGACTCACTCACCTGGTGGGTTTGTGTATTTCTCTGTTGACGACTCGCTGTCGGTGCTTCTCTTCAAAACAGAGGTGCAGTTGGTCAAGGAAAAACCACAACCAGCACAAGCAGCAAAGCCTTAATTAAAGTTGAAGCTTTCTTTGACCATTTTTCATCACAGAAATGAGCATGAGAAACCCTGCGCCTACCATACATGTCACCTGTTTGTTGTTGTTGGACTCTCAAAACTTAAGATTAGATTAGATTTTCTTTTCTTTTCTTTCAAAACAAACAGCATCATCATCAGATGATCTTTGAGCTGTATATACAGGTAGATTAATAGTAAAGAAATGTGGTTTAATTTTTAGGGTTTTTGGGTTACTTGAGATTTACTTTGGTTCATTTTTGGGTTATTTTTTAGGAATCTGTTGTTAATTATTGCAAGCTTTGCTGTAAAAAAATAAAAAGAAAAAAAGTTGTTTCTGCCCAAAAAAAAAAGGCAAAAAAAAAAAAGTTGTGAAATGACTTGTGGTAGGGTGGGTATATTATAAGGGGCAGAGAGTGAGATTTGGTTTCAATGAGAAGCCAAATCAGAGGGTCTTCTACTTTTGGCAAAGACTAAAGAGAGAGAATTTTATGATCAGTCTGCATGTTCCATGAGTACACGCAAACATGAAAGCTCAGAAAGCCCAGTGGTCCTCTGAGAGCCAGAGGGTTGTCTTGTATGTTGATCTTCCCAAAATTGATATCTCCTTCTGGCTTTTATATATTAATATTAAACATATTCAAATGTTTTTTGTTATCAATTTGGTCAAATTATTCGGGTGTTTTGACTAGTCCTCAACTGTCTTCTACCCTTATCCCCCACTATCATCTTGGAAGTATGCCTTTTGGGTCACTATGAGAGAGAGAGAGAGAGAGAGAGAGAGAGAGAGAGTCGGCACAGTTCAGCATAAATGTGAACAAAATTAATCCTTCTATTATGACACATAGAGATAGAATACATACTGATGCACATTATAATCAGGGGCAGGAAACAAAATTAGAATACAACTCATAAATAACATACAACTCTAAACTTTCGGCTATGGACAGCAGACAATGGGTGGACAAAAACCCTACAAGGAATGACTCAGAAATAAATCACTTTTAATATACAGGGGAATTTGTAACAGATTAAATTTATACCTCTCCATATCCTTTCTCTTGACGCAGCATACCAGCAAACCCGCATATAACTAAACTTAGTAACTCCAATCATTAAGTGTGGGTCTATGAAAGATTTACTTGCTTTTTAATGGTCTGATATACCACAAACTAGGAATTTCTAAGACAAGTTCCTCTCGCGCATTAGAGATTCTATCTTCTCAACATCTTCTGGGGCGTCAACACCATGAGCCTCATGGTCAACCTTGATCACCTGCAAACACAGAACAATGTGAACTTTTGGACATCCGTATTTCAGGAAAAACAGAAAAAATGTATTCTTCATCCCGTTACATTTACTTTTTGACATGTCACATTTGAGGAGAACCACTATCCCAGGTCAAAATTTGTGGAATTTCAATTCTTTTCTTTTAGGGCTGAGGGTAATCGTGTTTGAGAGTTCCTTGAAACAAAATTTTACAGCATTTTGACGGGCTAGATTATATATCATCACAACCAACAGGTAAGCTATTTATTGCACCAAATTTCTTATACTAATTATGATGACCGCACCAATGTCAAGTATGACTTCAATACAATTAGTGAGCATAAAACAATAAGAAGAAAAGACGGGTACAGATAAATAGAAAAGAACAAGAAAGCATTGCAATGTCAAAATAACTTTGCAAGAACCGGCAAAATAATTATAAGAGCAGATCAGTCAATTAAGAGTCTTAACATACCTTCATCTTATACCCATTTTCAAGGACTTTAAGCTGCTCCAGATCCTCTTCTAGTTGCAAAGGAGTAGGTTCAAGCTGAGGATATATTTTTAGGAACCTTGTATCATAGCTCTGAAAAGGCATGGAACAGAGAACCATAAACTCACAAGTTAGGTGGCCTAAAATAATTTACAATCACACCTCGCAGCCACACAATTTTTTAACAAAATGTCTATTTAATACCTGAATTCCTAGATGAAGCATATAGGGAAACTGTGGATTGGCCTTGCCTGACCTGTATCACATGTGACAATTTGTCAGATCTTGCAAAGCAGTTGATAACACGTTTACACTCACCGCATATTAAGTATTTCACAAAAAAGAAATCCATTATGCAAACATAAGCTCACTTGTTAAATGGAATCAACCCCCTTGAAAAATAGATGGCATAACCAGAATTGTCAACCAAACATTTCACTCGATTTGGATCAAATGCGTCTTCTAGTTTTAATGATGTGACTGCAGTGCTAAACACTGCATCTGGGGCTTCCTGGTAAGATATAACAAATTTGTGACATGATTGCATGGAAACAAATTAAAACATGGGATATGGCATTAGAAATGGAAAAGATAAATAACTATATCAACATGATTTTGACGCTAAACAAATATGAAACTGGGATTGCTTCACCTACTTCAAAAACAAGACTAATTGTTGAAAATCGAAATAAATTAAATGCCGCATGTGTTTATTATTCCTGTCGTAGCACTCACATTTCGTGGGGGACAATCATAACAAAAGATTGAGAAACAAATTTACCTGCAAAGCTTTAACAATTCCATCTATTATCTCAGGTTCAATAAGAGGCTCATCCCCCTGAATATTGACAACTATATCATACTTCTTCTCAAGCTTTTGAATTGCTTCAGAACAACGCTCAGTACCTTTAAGTTCAGAAAAAAGTAAATAAAAATGCAATTATATACTTAATCTGCAAAAGAAAAAAAAAAGAAAAAAGAAAACCATGGTGCCTACCATTCCTGCAGGATTCTGAGGTCATTACAACATCAGCTCCAAAACTGCGACAACATTCTCGAATCTTCTCATCGTCTGTCGCAACAACTGCACAAAAAGGAAGGTAGACATTAAACAACACTTCAAAAATACTCGGCCGGTCGAATTCACTTTCCCCAATGCATAGCTATTTAAGCATTAAGCAAAACTTAATATCATCAACAGGATGCAAGGTGGTAAGCCTAAAAAGGAATATCACTGGGGTATTAAGGGTCTTAAAGATTGGATGCCTATATCACATCACATCTCGTATACTTTCAATCAACCCGTCTCTTGGGGTTGCTAAGGTTAAAGAAGATTTCCTCAAAGGTGACTGTTTGTTGGAAGTTAAAATGCCTCATTATTGAAGCCGAAGCAAGCTCTTGAAGCTGAGAAAATTGGCCAGATCTTTTATGAAATGAAGATAAGGGGATGGCTCAAACACTTAGCTTATTGGGCAACTGGCATCCACAGGGTCATAAGTATGGCCATAGAATGGTTTGTGACTCTGGTCTTCCTCTTTCAACCAAAGTCAAGGATGATATTTGCAATGGAAATTGGAAGTGGGAAATTGCCAGACAGAATCAGCTGGCAGAAGTTAAGATAGGTGGCTTAAGTATACCTATAAATAAATTCAAATGAAGATACAGATTTTTGGATGCCTAGCAAAACTAGTAAGATATAATCAGCTGCCTCATTATTAAGGGGACATTCAACGATTTATTTAAGAAGGGTTCCTTCCCTGACAGAACATTAACAAAATCCTAGTATAAACATAAAGCAAAATTACATGGAGTTCAAGTGAGTAAACATACCAACATGATCCAGTGTAGTTGCCAGTTTTGCCCTTTCCCATGTTCTCTGCAAAGACAAACTCAAACTTGTAAGTGAAATGTTTCCCAATTACATTACCATAGGCTCTAATCTCAGACCAAGCTTCATAAGGAACAGACAAAAAGAAGGGGTGTAAAAGAAAATCCCAATAGAAGAAAAAACACCCTGCTTCAGATCCATGCAGCTTAGGAAAATTGATAACAAACTTCAAGCTTAGAAAATATCCATTTCACATACGGTATCAAAATGAAAGTACACAATGGAAGAATTAGTGAAGTAAAAAGAAGGACCTGGATCATGGGCTTTCCGAGGATCTGAGCGAGAGGCTTGCCCTGGAAACGTGAAGAAGCGAAACGGGCGGGGATGATACCAACGACCCGGCTCCGAAACTTCTTTGGCGGACCCAAGTAAACCCGGGCGCCAATTGCCACCGCAATTGCAACTCCGGCGACGATTCCGTGGACGATCCATGCCTTGGTGCTGCTCCAAGACCCAGACGACGACGACGACGAGGAGCAAACCGACATGGGGTTCATGTTGATCTCACTGAACAGAGTGAACCGAGAGAGACAGAGAGAGAGACACCGTCGTTATCTTTGGTGCGTTTTTTCGTTGGTAGATTTTTGGGTGCTCTGTTGTAATTCTTCACTGACCTGGGGTACAGCGGATTGATTTTTATTATTTATTATTGATTTTTCGAAATGAAACAATTTTAAGAGATAAAGACAAAAGTTTCATAGTCCAACTTTCATAGTCCTGGGTCCGGTTTGAGATCGAGATCCCATGTGCAAGGTTCGAGATATCGAATCAAAGAGTCCGAAGTCCAAGGTACAAGATTTAGGATTTGAAGTCGTAGGATCAAGGGGAAGTTGTAGGAATAGAACATGCATTCCCATTTCCACGTGTGAGCAAGTCCTTTTTTTAATACCAAAATTTATTATAATAATTTGTAAGTCGAAAAAGTCATAAAACAGTTCGTTCCAAGTGGAATTGAAACCCGAAATGAGATCCTGTTATACATTAAACATGAGAAGTAAGACAATATGTGTAATAACTTTATCTTTCTATTGTGTAAAAATGTAAATAAATTAACAAACATATGTGAAGTTCATGTTAGGATTACGATCGAAAAGAAAAGGACACTGAAAGGGTTACATGTTAACACCCAGATCACTGCCCGTGTCAAAACTGGGGAAATAGCCTCATATTGCAGAACATGTTCCAAAGTTCTGCTTGTATGGCATTAAGACTTAACCATAAGCCCAACACAAGCCTTGTATTGCATGTAAAGGCGGTAAACGGGCAGTCAGTATTATCACAGATAACAGAGAGGCTGTAACAGAGGCTCCACTTAGCACTGCACTTCCATTTTCAGTTAATGGCAGCAGCATGTTGGTCCATGAAATACAATGCTAATCAGAACCCACTAACTGCGGAAAAGAAAGTGGGACGCTTCCAAGAGCATGGCAAGTTATGGGCATGAGAAGGGTTCTACAGAGCCCACGGAGATCCACCGCCATGATGACCAAATCAATTGGCATTATCTTGGGAATGTCTCCGTCTCCTAATCTTCTTCATTTTTCCCTTCTCTTTCCTTGAGCTATTTTCATCACGCCTAGTCTTCTCTTTCTTTGAGCCATTTTCTCTCCTCCCCACTTCACCATTTTCTTTTCCCTTCTTACCTGACTTCTCTTTAAAAGAAGCCTTCCTCTTCTTTCCCGATGATCGCCCACTACCGCCTCCAGCAGAATCATCTCCCCGCGGCAGGGGATCATCATCATCATCTAACTGCCAATTGCACATAAACTCCTGCCCATCATGCTCTAGCTGAAGTGGTTTCCCTGCTCCAGGAAGTAAGCTATCAAAAGCTACTAGCCCGGGACCTCCTTTGCGTTCCACCAACATAGGATCAGGTCTAATTATGGTACCGAGAATGCTCCTGTTTGGGCCTAGGCACAGGATGACCTTAGGATTTGTCAATGTAGTATAAGCCATTGAAAAAGCTGATCTAATCTGCAAGAAATCCAGAAAAGGATGTGACGTGGAGGAAGATCAGCCAATTATAAGAATTGGGTTGGCAAGTGTTGCTTGTCAGCTAATTGTAAGAATTAGCTGACGAGCAACATATGCGAATAAATTTTTTAACTGTGCAAGCACATGCATGATCTGTTTGACAGGTACCACTAAAGAACATTGCCTAAGCCAGCTGCTCGTCAACCAAGCCAGACTTTTTTTTGAAATTGAAGAAGTTATATTTGCTCAATAAACTTACCTATATTTATTTTTGTTTGTCCACTACCACTATTTACGTAATAAATCTAAAAAAGATTATGATAAACCTATAAAAAAATTTAAACTAAAAATAGAAATTTTTTACGAGCGGGATCGAGAATCATTATTAATTCGACACAAGAAAGGGTTGTGGAAAATTCCGTTTCTTGTGTCAAGGACTAGTAGACGAACAATCCCCCGAGATTGAAGGAGTTAATTAAATGCAATATTTTTTTAGGAAACCATTAAATTGATGAATAAAACAGCCATTTCATGGAAGATGAAGTGTCAGCTTGTAATTTCAGTATATCAATTTGCGGTAACATGAATAAAGCTCACACAAGCATATACACGCACAACCATTAAACTATATTCAATGCAAATCCAGTTACTTGGCATCAAAAGCGAAGGAGGAGAAAAATTATAAGCATGTTATTCAACAAACCTGAAAATAGTTGAATGAGTTCTTCCCAACGTCATTCTCTGGTGCCTGGGGATCCTCGATGGCAATAAGAAATGGTCGTCCTTTGGTTATGAACCTGAGAGAGAGGATAAATCCAATGCAAAAGTCCAAAAACAGGGTAAAAAAAAGAAGAGAAGAATCAAGATAAAGAAACTCATCACTTTATTACGAAGGTTATTTATACCCTTTGACACTCTTTTTAAAAAAGGTCCCTGCCCCTTTGCACGATACACCAACATCTGAAGTATTCAATTTGCGTCCATAAAAATCAAAGAAGTTTACCTATTTGAGAAACACAACAGATAAACGAGAACGTAAGCCACAAGCTAATTGAATTTTCTCCATATTCTTTGGAAAAATCCTAGCCTCTCATAAGAAGTTAAAAACTAGAACAATAGAGTGAATTCCATAGTCCACATAATTCAGGGTTACAGTCTCCATTCCTACATTTACAACCAAGCCTGGTTGCTGGGATAAAGTTTAAGCTAACTGACTTGGGATACAATGAAAGAACTTCAAGCAATAATAAAGAGCTTCCAAGCTCTCATCTACTTGATCCGAAAAAACTTACCAAAAGAACTCCCAAGTTTTGTTCGGAAGAAGCTTGACATTCTCTGTGGCTCTGTTGCATAAAATTCAATATATATATCAGGGATAAAGGATCCAATAATGAGGATGTTGGTCTATTTATCTGATTTTTAACATTACAGAAATTGATAATTGTTTATCTATGATCCAAATGACAGAATAAATCGTGTGTGGTAAATTATCTATTTCATCCAAATTTTAGGAACTTGTCCTTGGATCACATTTGCACTCATAGGTTTACCATGTTCCACTGCAATATTCAACAAAAAAGCAAGTTTTACACAACCAAACAGGAGCCATACAGTACAGGTATGTGCATAGGCAAGCAAGAAGTGCACCAAATCTTCAAATGCATATTTAAGATTCACTCACATGCAACATTGCCATGAGCATCGTAAGGAGGGCGTAAGAACCTAATCCACCAGAGTACACCTGCATATGTTATCAGAATATGGATTAGGCTGACTGGAAAAAAAAAATTCCATAAAGAAAAAGAAAGACAAGTGAATCTATTAAATTAGAAAGTCATACCTCATTTAATTCTCTCTGTTGTAAAAATACTTTTAAGATTAAACATAATGGTCGCAAAGGAGGCCACTTAGATACCACGTCCTGAAAAGGGATCAATGGATAGTGTCAAAGGAGACTGAAAATAGTTATTCCCTCACTTTACATGCAATCTGTAACATTCTAACTGAATCCTCGCATGGTTTTTTTATATTTTTCCTTGAAGTGCCTACGATAATTGGGAATTAGGGCTCATTTGGGAGTGATTCTAGATAGGCCAGAATCACTTCTAGGGAGAACCACCTCTCATGTGATTCTTCATATAATCACTTTAAGTGATTTTAAGTGATTATGAGCAGGAGCACCTCCCATGTGCTTTTCCATAAAATCACTTAGGTAGCGTTTGGGAGTGCTTAAATTTTTTAAAAAGCAGCTTTAAAAAAAAAATTCCAAAACTCAGGTGTTTGGTAAACAGCAAGAATCAGCTTTTTTTAAAAATTGCGGTCAGCGACCGCTGTTTTTCCAAAGCAGGGAGAAGGCAGCTTTCAAAAGCTGCTTAGAAAAAAATTTAACCGGTAGTTTTAAAGAAATTTTGGCTTTCCCATAATGCCCCCACTTACTTTTTAAATGGACAATCCTTGTCCCTCCAATTACACAACTCCCATCTGCAACTCTTCGAATCAAAATGCACAGAGAAGGAGAAGAAGATAAAATTTTTGAAAAAAAAAATGCAGAGAGAGAAGAAGAAGCCCCATCAAATCAAAGAAGAATTCATACCCAAGCGAAGAAGAAGCCCCTACAACCTTGAAGAATAGTTAAAAATCTAAGATTTGAGAGCAAGAGAAAAACAAAAAAGTGAATAACTCTGTAAACATATACCATAAATTCAATGATTTTACCAACTACCAAACCATGCAACCACAAAAGATCCAAACCCCAGCTTCCCCATTCCGTCATGTCCAGCCAAAGAAAATCAAACCAGCTTCCCACCAAAATAAAATCCAATCTTACAATCCCACTCACATACATAGAGCAAAGGACCATGAACTCAAAGCTCTCTTGATCTGGGTTTGGATTGAGTTTTTAGTTTTAAAATTCTTGATCTGGATTTTTTTTTTGTGGGGGGTGTTTTGAGGCGACGGCGACGAGAATAGGGGAGAGAGAGATGGGGTGGTGTTTTTAATTTTAATTTTGTATATGTATTTTTATATTTGTATATTTTATTATTATAATAATATTTTATAGACTAAATTTTTTGATAAAAAAAAGTGTAAATTAAAAAAAGAAAAGGTTGTGAAGTTGGTTTTTTTTTTTTAGTAGAAAAGGAATGAAGAAAAATATAACCAGTTTCATCTTCATGTCCTTCTTTGTCATTATACACACTAAAAGCACTTCTGATAAAAATTTACCAAACACTTTAACTACTCACAGCAGTTTTTCAAATACAATTTACCAAACGTCTAGCTGTTTTTTTTCACAGCAGATTATTATTGCAGCACAGCAGAAGCAGTTTTTTTTAAAAGCACAGCAATGCCAAACTAGCCCTTAAAACTGCTTAAGTTGATTATTTGGAGAAGTAATTCTCTATAGAAGTGCTTTTTTGCGTATCCAGATTCACTCCCAAACGAGTATTTTACTAGGTGGAAGCACTACCTTTGCTCCCTTACCACTACTGTTACAAACATGGGATATTAGTTCAACATTCTCTAAGATTTGTAATGTTTAACTTAGAAAATTAATATATACTTTTTGATTCCACAGCTTACCAAGTTATCAACTACTACTGCTTTTCACCCCCTTTTGTTACTTCTTTCAATATCAACATTCATATAACTATTGTTTAAGATATCGTAATTACATC